TGCAGCCTGACCTTCGGTGCCGTTCCCAGCAGGAGGGGAGGGGGCAGCCCGGCCGCCTGGGTCCCCTTCCCAGCCCCACTCACTCGTGCTGGGTGGCCTTGGGGCAGGGGACCGTAATTTCACTCTATCTCGGGGAAGGCAGCTGGGCTGTAACCAGGGGCTGGGGGGTGTTCACAAAGGGGTTTGGTTCATCATCACCCCCTCTGGAGAAAGGCTCCGAGACCCCACGTGTCCTCCCAGCAGAGATGGGAAGCTGGCGTAGATCAGCCGCTCTGCTTATCCAGGGTAGGGGGGTAATGCAGGCTGGGGTTTGGGGACAGGGACCCTGCTGTGCCGGTACAGGCTGACCACGCTGGGCCTGCTGCCAGTCCACTGACTGCCCATTTGTGCACTGAGTTCCCCTGTGCTCAGCCTCAGTTGCCTGTGTGATAACTGAGGGGGTCACAAACCTTTCTTGGGGGGTGTTTCTTCCCCTGCTCGGGCAGGTGGTGCCTAAAAAGAGGGGTTATGGTGCAGGGAGGGGAGGAGGACAAAAGCCAGGCATGACCGGGAGCATCCTCCTGGCTCGGCTCCTCTCAGCTGGCTGCCTCCAGCGTGGAAAGAGCCCCTTGTCTGCAGGATCAGCCGCTCCACTGCGCTTGTCTGGATGGTGAGGGAGGAAAAAAGGGCTCGTGACTCTTGCAGAGCAATGGGGAAATGGATGGGGCGCCTGGCTTTAGAGTGGCTTCCTGAGAGGAGGTGAGGAGCAGGGTACAAAGCAGCTGAGCCATGACGGTGTATAGCAGCCTGCCTGGTCCCCTGCCAGCCCTGTGGCTCCCCAGGCCATGGTGGGGTCAGAGCAGGCTGGGCTCTGCCTGCCGGGCTGCCAGGGAAGAAGGTTGAAACCTGGTGGTTCTGGGGTCAGCAGCCCCATCCCACCAGAGGATGCTCAGTGTCTCGGGGCAGGAGCTGGTTAGGGAGCCCCAGGGTGGGAAGAATGTGGCTGAGGGGCTGGGACACATCCTGCAGTGCTGCTGCTCAGGGCAAGCCAGCTGGGAGCCGGAGGGGTGGGAGACATTCCCTGCACTGCTGAGACACATCCTCCCTCCTCACAGGCCAGGATGGCTCCTCAGATCTAGCCAGGGAGGCCAGAGCAGTGCCGGAGATCCCTGTCCAAGTGATGGTGGGACCAGGATAGAGGAGCTGCTGTGAGGATGTCTGAAGCCAAGACCCTGAGCTCCTCTTGCCTCGTGCTTTCCTTGCTCTCCTTGCACTGGGCTTTGCTCCAGCTGGGCCAGGCTTTTCCCAGCACCTCTGACTACCTCCAGCGGGGCTGGCAGCGGCTGCTGGAGGAAGGAGAGGGCTGCATCGAGTGCCGGCCGGAGGAGTGCCCGGCACCACGCGGGTGCCTGGCTGGCACGGTGCGGGATGCCTGTGACTGCTGCTGGGAGTGTGCCAACCTGGAGGGACAGATCTGCGACCTGGACAACACCAACCACTTCTATGGCAAGTGCGGGGAGCACCTGGAGTGCCGGCTGGATGCCGGGGACCTGCGGCACGGAGAGGTGCCTGAGCCCCAGTGTGCCTGCCTCTCCCACCTGGCCCTCTGTGGCTCCGATGGCAAAACCTATGCCCAGATCTGCAGGTTCCTGGAGGTCGCCCGTGCCCACCCTGATGCCAACCTCACCGTGGCCCATGAGGGTCCCTGCGAGTCAGGTAGTGCCCTGGGAGCAGCTGTGCGGGCAGCGGGACGGAGGCTTGTACCTCTCAGGAAGGGACAAGCAAGGGGGTCTGGCTTAACTGTTTCACCTGGCAGCAAACGCATGATGTCCACAGGGACATGGCAGTGCTGGGGGCTGCTCCATACAGTGGCAGGTCCCCCCTGGTCCCCCCACTCTGCTGCTCCAGGGCAGCTCCTGTGGATCCAGTGCCTGGAGAGGTCTGGGAGCAGCTTTGCCAAGTGGGAACGGGGTTTATGGGAAGCAGCAAATCCTGCTGGAGCAGATGGGGAAGTTCCAGGGATTTGTTAGCGAATTCTTGGCGACAGCGCTGGGTCCATGCTGGCCCAGTGCTCCTGAGAAATGTGGCTGCCTCCTGCAAATGGAAACCTGGGTCAGTTTGACTTGGCAGTGCAATTTCCATCTCCCATTTAAAACCCAGCTGGGGGGGCAGGCAGCGGTGGAGAGGCCAAGCCCCAGCCTGCCCTGTCCAGCATAGGTCACCCAGTGCTGTCACCACAGAATGAGGGGCATCAAGGTTGCCTTTATTTTCTGTAGATCATAATGTCCTTCAGTTTTTTCCCCCAGGTATATTTTGAAGTAGAGGCCTTCCCTTGGCCTCTGGCTCATGCTATGGGCCAGATCCTGGAGCAGGCATGGGTACGAAGGGTAGTCCTCACTCCGTCCCTCCAGGGAAGGGATGTGGGACCTGGAGGTATTGGCTCCATAGAGCAACCGGGGACCTGCTGGCTCCCTTAATCGCTGGTGCAAGCACTGTGCCAGAGGAGAGGCCTCATTCAACTGGAAGCTCATCCACCTCATCCATCCCCACCAGCCTCGGGCTGGATGAGTACCCCTCGGCCTTTCCCCCACAGGAGGAGCATGCTCTGATTTGCACAGGAGAGCTTTGCTTTATAGTCCTGCTGTTACTGAACTGTTCTGGCTGCTCGTGTGTCCCTGAGCATCATTGCGCAGGCATGGAAAGCGAGGCCAGGAGGGTTGGCAATCCCTCATGGGGCAGGGGGGCTGGGGAGGGAGCCCCTAGTCCCAGCTGCAAGGAGGGACTGTGTCCTGGGGCAAGGTGAGGGTCTGCCGTGGGCAGGAGAGGAGAGGGGCATGGGAAGGGTCCCAGCATCTCTACGTGAGCCAAATGCTTCCACCCTGGAGGGGACCAGCCCAGGAAAGCCCACAGGACCTGCTGAGGGTGGGACCTCTTCTGAGCCCACCCTGCTCTCCTGTGCCCCCTCCCCAGAGCCCCAGATCACCTCTCCTCCCTATGACACATGGAACATCACTGGGCAGGATGTCATCTTCGGCTGCGAGGTTTTTGCCTACCCCATGGCATCCATCGAGTGGAGGAAGGATGGCACGGAGATGCTGCTGCCTGGAGATGACCCCCACATCTCTGTCCAGGTGAGTGGTGTGCCTAGGGTGTTGCACATGGCCCTAGGGTGACCCAGCCCTTCCCAGAGCTCATGGGCAACCAGACCTGAGGGTAGTCATCCTCTGGGGGTGGCTAAGCCTGGCTGCCTGGGGATGAGAAGGGGTGACTGGGCCCTACACATCACGAGGACTGGCTGAGCCAGGGCTGGTGTCTCAGTGGTAGGATCCATCAGCATAGCTCTCTTCTGCAGTTTTCTCCCATAGTTTTTGAACTTAAAACATATAAGATCTGCCGAGTCCTGCAGCAGGGAGTTTGCCACCTCCCTGCCTTTAGTTTTCTCTGCCTGCTGGCTTTAATCACAGCCCCACTGGCTGGGCTGGAAGAGAGGACCTCCTGAGGTGCCTTCCAGCATGGGTTATCCTCTGGTCCCATCAGCAGTCAGGCAGTCCCTGCCCTTTTCTGCCTGCTGCTCCGAGCAGGGCTCCCCTCCCAGAGCTGGCAGGTCAAGGGGTCAGCGTCCTGCCCACAGCCAGCCCCAAATATAGTGCCCAGCCAGGCATACCCAGCTATTAGAGGGTGTAGGCAGAGGCACAGGAGCCGTGCACTGCAGCCACGCACCGGTGGGGAGGAAACTGTGGTGGGATGCATGGGGGGAGCCAGGGGAGCAGGTGGGAGCTGGCAGCATTGCGAGGTGATGCGCTGGTCCCCTTCCATCTTTCTGCCCTTTGCGCCACCCCGTAGCCTGTCGCAAGGTCCGGCTGAGGACCTTCACCCCAAGCAGGGCTACCCTGCCTGGCTGAAAGAGACTCAGCTGTCCTCTGCCCCTGGCCACAGCACCATAATAGCAGCCTGCAAACACAGCTGCAGCCCAGATGGGTCAGGAAGAGATTATTTCTTGCTGGGGACAAACAGAAAATAGCCTGGCTGGCGCCAGAGCAATTCTGGGACCTCGCTGCCTGCTGAAACAGGCGACTCAGGGCTCGTCTGAGCCATCCCGAGCTAGCTATGCTCGTGGCACAGATGCTCCCTTGCTTCTGCCACTCTGCAGAGCACCAACGCCAGCATCCTCCCGCTGTTTGGGGACCACGGTGGCACTGGGGCACAACTGGGAGTCTGGGCACGTCTGCAAGGTCCTGCCCAAAGCAGGGGTCCCAGGCCCTCCTGAGGGCAAGGAGGTGCCCATTGCCCCCGCCTCCCATGGGTAGTCAGAAAAGGGGGGACCTGCAGCCAGGGGGTCTGTACCTGCCCCCAGAGCGGTACTTACTGGGGGGAGCAAAGAGTTTCCCTGGGCTTGTGTCCCCCTTCCCATCCATCCCAGCCCCACTCCAGGCTTTCGTGGCCCCAGCGCTAACTGAAATCCCCCCCCTCCTCCAGTTCAGAGGTGGCCCCCAGAAATATGAAGTGACGGGCTGGCTCCAGATCCAGGGTGTGCGGGTGACGGATGAAGGCACCTACCGCTGCTTTGCCAGGAACAGGGTCGGGGAGGTGGTGGCGTTAGCCAGCCTGACTGTCTTCACGCCCGGTAAGCACCACGTCCTTGTCCCCATGCTCTAATGGGGACAAGAGAGGGGATGTTTGGGCAGGGTGCGCTGGTATGGTGGGAGCTGCTGGAGTATAGGGCTGTGTTGGGGATGCCCCAGCAAGCTGCCGTGCACGGTTTGGCTTTGGTCCTGGTGGGGAAGGGGACAGGCACTGGGGGCGGCAATGTCACATTGTCCCCACACTGCCATTTCAGATCAGCTCAACATGACGGACTTTTCCCCGCCGAAGCCCCGCACAACGCCCGAGGACTACGGGGAGAGTGAGGAGGACTATTACTAGCCTGGAGACGGGATGTCCAGCTGCAGAGATCACCTTGCCCACGGTGGCCGTTCCCGGGGGTTGGGGACATCACCGGAGAAAGCACCCCCCAGCCCAAAACTCCTTCTCTGAACAGTCTTGGCACAAGAGCCTCTTTTTTGGGGTGGGGGACAGGGTGACACATCCCTTTGCTGGGGGGTGCTCGGGGAGGGGACGCTGGCTGGTTGGTGGCACAGGGCTGGGATTGGGGGTGGCTCCGCCTGGGGCAGGATGGGTCTGTCCTCTGGCCGAGCAGGGATGCGGTGGCAGGTGGGACGCTGCGGGGACAGCCACACCACGTGTGATGAGGACTTGGTGCTCGGGCTGGAGGCAGTCCCCCCGGAAGAGGGAGACCAGGGCAGGGGCATCTCTGCCCTGTGCGAAGCATTTTGGGGAAGCCAGAGCAGAGGGCTGGAACCTGGCTGTGACACCCAGTGCATTACCCCTGGGGCTGATCATAGAATCATAGAATGGTTTGGGTTGGAAGGGACCTTAAAGATCATCTAGTTCCAACCCACCCTGCCATGGGCAGGGACACCTTCCACCAGACCAGGCTGCTCAAAGCCCCATCCAACCTGGCCTTGAACACTTCCAGGGATGGGGCATCCGCAACCTCTCTGTGCAACCTGTTCCAGTGCCTCACCACCCTTGGGGGATTTGCATCCCCTGAGCACAGGGACAGCCAGGCTTCTCCCCAGGACCCAGGGAACCTGCTGCCAAAACATCCTTCTCTTACATTTTGTTTTTAACCAGAAAAGCAGTGATTTGAGGAAACCAGACACTTGTGGTTTAGAGTGCTGTCTTTTCTCCGGCCCAACCGCCCATGTGGTCAGAAACACTTTGTCCTTTTTGGACCGACTTTGTGCTTTCCCTTCCACACAGCTCTTTACTTTGCCATTTCAGTTAACATTAGTTAAAATATACACATAGGTCAAAGCCTATACAGACCAGTTGACTGTCCTGCATCCACAAGGATTATTCTGGGGGTGAGGGAGGGTGCAAACACTGTGGATGCTACCTTGTCCATTGTGGGAGTGCTTGGGTCGAGGAGCCCTCCTGCCCATCCCGGTGCTTACAGCTAGTCCTGGAGTGGGTCCTGCCCCTCACATCCCACATAGGGATGGGGGCCCCCAGCAGACCAGCTCCTGTTTCCACTGGAAATGCTCCATTTTTAAAAAACAAACCCACCTGCCTCTCAAAGCTGGTGATTTAGAGCAAACTGTCATTTTGGGGGAGTGTGGGAAGGAAGCCCAGAGACGTGCTGTGTTGCCCCATGCCTGGAGAGGGCTGGCAGGACCCTTTCCCACGGGCATCCTGGGGCTGAGCTCACAGTCAAGGACTGCTTTGCCCCCCCCCAAACCAGCAACATTTACAGGATTTCTGGGACTTAAAACATCCCCATGGACCAAACTGCTCCTGGTTACTTGGTCCCAGCTCCAGGGAGGTCTGGAGCTGCGGCAGGGAGCCAGAACCCAGGAGTAAGGAGTTGGCCAGTCCCCAGGCAGGAGCAGCCAGGATGAGACGAGGCTGGCGGCTTGGGCGCCACACTGCTCTCCTTCCCTTGTTTTCTTTTTTCTCTTCTTCTTTTTCTCGAGAGCTGGCTCAGATGATGCAATTACGGCATCGAAACCTGAACAAGCAAATAAAAGGGATTTGTCTGGAGTTGGCAGTGGAGCAAAATTTCTGTAGCTGGTGAGGCTGGGCCAACCCTGGCCCCTGCATCGCAGTCTGATGGGGCACAGCCAGCACCACTGTCACCCTGCCTGCCTGCCCGCCTGCTGGGCTGCCTGTCCTCTTTGGCACTAAACCCCTTCTCAGCTGGGGCCTGTGCCTCAGTTTCTCCTTCCATCTAACAGTGTAATAGCATCCTCCTGGGACTGCTACATCAGAGTGTGTTCAGGAGGGACCAGGGACAGAAACGTGCCATTGGCTTTTATTTTCCTTTTTTGGGGGGCAAAACCTGCTTTCAGAGGAGCCAGGGTGTTTTCACCCAACCTGATCCCCTCCCTGTTTTGTATACAAATCGGCTGGTGGAACTGGGCTGCCGAACTCAGGCTGAGGCTGCCACGGGGAAACCTGAGAGCGTCCCAGAGCTTCAGCAGGTGAGGAGAGCTGCTTGCTGGGCTCCCTGCCGGTGCCTGGGGCTGGCCACCAGCCAGGGCTGCCATGCCAACCCTCCCCAGGGCCAGGCCCCCCCTGCCCGCCCTGCCCACGTCGGCATGAATCCAGGTCGTGCCAAGTGTGGGTGCAGCGCTGGGCTGGCTGGGGGGATCAGATGGGTTGGAGCCCTGTCCCTAGCTCTCCGTGTGCTCTGCGGGGCGATGACCTGCCAGGGCACAGGTGGGCATCCGTGTTTTGATCTCAGTCCTTGCCCCCTTCATCTCCGCACCTGGTCCCTGTGATATGCCATGGGTACCTAGCAGGGAATGCTGTCAGCTCCTGCTCCTGCCCTGCAGGGAAGGCAGCAGGGTTGTGGTGGTTGAAAGAGGGGGGAACTTGAGCAAGAGCCCTTGGCCAAAATTAAACAAACTGGGGGCTGTGTCTCCCAGTTTCCTCAGATCCCAGTGCAGGAGAGTGCTGTCTGAGTTGCAGGCTAGCAGCTTGGCCAGTGTTGTGGCTCCACTCCCCCCCCAAAATGAGGGGCAGCAGAGCGGCCCCGGGGGCACTAAGGGGGCTGGTGTCCCCCTGCTCCAGCTCCCAGTCTTGCCATTTCCAGCCTCTTAAAAATTAAAGGAGCCAATATCGCTGCATGGCTGGAATCGGTCACTGCCACAGTGCTTAATTGAGGTTATTTGTTGGCTCTAAAAATGTTTGGTCAGCTCTGCTGCTCGGATGCTTCCCACAGCCCCTGCCCCAGGGAGAGGGTCTCCCCAGGCTCTGCAGATGCTCTCCTCAGCCCTGGTCCCAGGGACCTGGCCAAACCTGGTGTCAGTATGGGGACAGAGAGAGTGCCCCCATGGCATGCAGCACCAAATCCCTTTGCTGGCCAATTTTTGGGGTGGTTGTTTTCCAGGGACAGTGGGGATGGAGGGGCCCAAGCGGCTCCTGCCAGCCCAGCTGCCTGCGCTCAGAGCAGCAGCTCGGCCCAGATGTTGGGCTGACGTCAGGGACGGGGTCAGCTGGACTGGGAAGCGCTAACGTGGCCGCCGGCCCTGGGCACGCACTGTCCCCGGCACCTCCCGGCCGCCCAGGGTGAGCAGGGTGCCGGTACCTCCCCGGGCACAGGAGGACACTGCAAGGCTGGGGACAAAGAAAGGGGGGCTTGTCCTGCCAGCACCCAAAAGACCCTGAAGATGCATGCTAACAGAGCCAAAAATGGTGGTTAAAAACTCACTGGACCTCAGACCCCAGGGGGGACACACAACAGGGCTGGCACTGCCCTGCCACCATCAAGCATTTTGGCCACCCCCATTGTGTACTCACAGCTCTGGGTGCTGGGGGGGGTGGAATTCAGGTAAAACAACCCCCCCAGCCTCCAAAGCAGCTGTTTTCTGCCCCAAACCTGAGGTGTGTGTCGCACCCAGGCCCTGCTGCAGGCTGCTGGCGGGACCTCGGCTCTTCCCACCGCTCCAGCCTTCGGTGCGGGGGCACCATCCAGATCCCCAGACCACTCCAGCGACCACCATGGGGCAGGACGCCACTGGGACGGTTGGCAGCTGACCCAGAGATGACACCAGGGTGTCCTGCTCCCCCCAGCAGCTGACCTGACACCACCGGTGTCTGCCTCATCCTTGCACCCCCCAGTGCTGCCCAGAGCTTGCCTGGCAGCAGGCACCTTCAGCAGCTGCCAAGCCACAGGATTTTGCGGTCTGCAGGGAAACCCCACCAGGTTTGGCAGGTAAATACGATCCAGCAGCGAAAACATGCTGTCCCTGTCCTTCCTTGCCCTCGGGGGTGCCGGGACTTGCCCCCGGCCTGGGCTTGGGCAGGAGGTACAACTGCACCTCCATCCCAGTCCAGATTTGGGCCACCGGCGTGATTAGCCGCTAAACAGTGCCATCTCCTGGCAAAGCCACCGGCCACGCCGAGCCCTGCCACTGTGCTGGGCGGCTGGCGAAGGCACGCAGGGTCTTGGGCACCACTGGAGCATCCCGACCCCCCCAAATCCAGCCCTGCCTGCTCCATGCCCTCCCCCTGCCCCTGGCAGCAGCTCTGCCTTGTTGGGAGGGGCGATGCCATCCCAAGGGACATTGGTGCTAAACTGTCCCTCGGGATGATCACAGGAGCCAGAGCATCCTCTTGACACCATCTTTGGGTGGCTGCGGCAGGCACAGCTGGGATGAGGCAGAGCTTGGAGATGTTCACCCGCTGTGTCTGGGTGTGTGCTTTAACTGGGGCTGAAAAAGGGTCAAAACCCCTCATGGCCACCTTGCCGGTCCCCCCCGCACCGTGGGTATATACCATGGGAGATTGATGGCTTCTGGCAGGGGTCTCGGCCAGTCTGTCCTGAATGCTGGTCATGCCTGGATGGAAATTTGCAGCGCTGTAACCTCACTCTGCTAACGGGTAAACTGAGGCACAGAGCAACCAGGTATGGGTAACTCAACCAGAGCCAGAGACACAACCAGAGCAGAACGGCCAGCTACACCCGGGGCCTTCTGTCCCCAACCTGTCCCCATCTCTGGGGGCGGTGGCATTTTCCCTTGTGCCCTCTGCACGGCACCTCTTCACCCTGCTGTGCTGGCTCAGGGAGAAAATAAAAAGAGCAAGACCGCTTCCCTGCCTCCACCCAGCACTTACGCCATCTGATAAACAAAATGGAAATAAATCCTCCTGCGTTTGCAGCAAATAGGTCTCCATGGGGGGTTGCTTTCAATAATTCAAATGCCGCTGCAGAGCAGAGCCCATGCCAATGGGTTTTAATAAACACAGCCATAATGTGACATGCAATTTATTATTAAGCTTAAAACAGGAAACGAAGAGTTTAATAAAAGCACCAGGTTCCTTGTATCAGTCACAGCAAGTGGCAGGGTGCTAGCTGT